TTAAGTAAATTATCCTCGACTTGCATAAAGCCAATTTTTTGATCTATTTTCCATCTAGCCTGTAACTGCCCGTATTGAAACCATGTTTGAATTATTTTTTCCTTTTTTAGTACATCCAAGGGTTTCAGTTGTAGTACACCTCTTTCTACAGTAAGAAGCTATCTATAAGTAGTTGCATCCTGTTTTTGTACTATATTCATATTTTCTATTGCATGTCTAGGAATAGCCCACATAGGTATCTTATCATTTAATTTGTATTGATATTTTTTCCAAACCCACAGTAGAGCATTCTTTAAAATGTGACTTTTAAAATTCTTATCCACTTTTTTGTTGTATAGCAAATAAGCATGCCAGCCATATACCAAATCATACCCTTCAATATTAAGTATTCTATCATCTGTTAAATTAATGCAGTCACTAATTGTAGACAGAACTACTGCATCATAATATAGTTTTAAATTGGGTAATTTCAAGCCTCCTCTTTCATGCACATCCTGCATTATTTTTAGTTTTACTCTCGGCAGCCTGTTCCATTCTTGGACAGTTGACCATTCTTCTTGAAACCCAACTGAAGTCTTCCTCGTAATTTAATCCCCATGACCTCTGGAACAATACAGAACAATTCTGCCTCTTTGTCTACATTACTCTACAGCCCTTTCTTGGACAATGATCACATTCCCCTACAGTCTTCTCCAAGCTTTCCCAACCACTCCTGACCCCATCAGTATTTTCTTGTGAACTTGCTTCCCCTCCAGTCCCAAAATGCGGTGCAGGGAATCTTCTACTTATGAGTCAACTTACAAGAACATACAGGCAATCCTCGACCTATGACTACATTTGGGACCAGAATTTTCATTGCTAAGTAAGGAGGTTGTGACAGAGTCATGCCTGATTTTACAACCTTTTATGTGATGGTTGTTAAGTGAATCATACTGTTCCTAAGTGAATTGGGCTTCTCCCTTAGATTTCACTTGTGAGAAGCTTTTTGGGGAGTTTGCAGGGTCATGTAACCTTGGGAGGATGCAATCATGGCGGCCTGAAGCAAAGGCCGGAATTTTCGTCACGTGACTGTGGGGATGCTGAGTTGGTTGTAAGTAGGAGGCCAGGTCTTAAATCATTTTTTTAAGTGCCATTGTAACGTGGAATGATTGCCAAATGAAAGGTTGTAAGTCGAGGACTTCTTGTATTAACTTGTCTCCTGATCAAGAGACCTTAACTGGATTGAGTCCTGGTTTGTTTGTCCACGTGATCATATGGGGTCTCTCCCATCCCTTCTTGGGCTATTGCAGGGGTCTCCAACTTTGGCAATTTTACAACTTGTGGACTTCAACCCCAGAATTCCTCATCCAGCCCTGGTCGGAGACCCTTGGCTTATTGACTAGGGCCAAGCATGAAGGTGAATGGTCTCATTTAGTTCAGGCATGTGCCAGCCTCCCTGGTATTCCCTTGGCAAGAGACTTTGTCCTGGGGGGCATTTTTGTAAGGATCCCCAACTCCTGAGGGCTTTTTGTGGGGGCTTCATGTAAGTATTTCAAACAGGAAAGGACAAAATACTCCCTGAAGGAATTTCATGGGAGAAGGTGAAGAGGCTGAGTAGGAGTTTCCCAGGATGTTTCTAGGGTGGCCTCAAATGCTGCCCTGCATGATTTCTGAGCAGCCCATCCATCAAGATGACTCACTGAGGTTCAGAAGCTCTGAACAGGATTTGTCTTGGTAACATCCAGCTCCATCCTCAAAGTCTACCTGCCTCTTTCATGACAATGAAAACCGCTGCAAACATCTCCAGAATTGCAGCTTGGGGCAAGTGTGTCGAATTGTTGATTAGAAGGTCACCTCTCCTTCTCAGAGACCTCCCAGAGGGGAGCTTGAAAGCAGAAAGAAGCCACTATTTTGACCAATAGTGCAAATATTTCCTTAGGATAAAAAAAGAAATCACACGAAGCACCATTTTTATAGCACTGTCTGTATGTTCTTCCCTGGGCTCTCATCATAAGTGATGAATGCCATTCCCCTCCATGGTAAGGACAGCAGAGTAGGAAGATAAATGCCAGGTCTGTAGTTCACAAGGCTCCCCTCGTCCGGGACTTAATTATAGACGAGAGGGCAGACCTGGCATGTATTACTGAAACCTGGCTGGGCCCGGAGGGAGGAGTCCCCCTCGTAGAGATGTGCCCAGAAGGATTTCGGGTTCTTCATCAGCCGAGAGCCCAGGGAAGGGGTGGGGGTGTGGCTATTGTTATTGTTATTCGGGAGTCTTTGGTTCCTCGTAGGATCCCTGCTCCGGAGCTTGTCAGGTGTGA